TTGCAGCATTTGCAGCAATTTGTTGGCATTCAGGCATTCAGGCATTCCTCAACATTCGTCCACAGTGTGCACTCTGCCGCACTCTGCGCCCACTCTGCCCCAGCAGCCATGCCATGTGAAAACTGGAACCCGGGCACAGGAAAGAGGAAACAGGAAACTGGAAACTGGCCAGGATGTTGCCGGGGTGGGACTATTCATCAGGGGCCGGGGGGGGGGGACGGTGAAAGGGAAACCCTCTCCTCCAACGAACAGGGAATCAGGGAATCAGTTGTTAACTCACGTAGGCAGTGGCGGTGCGTGATCGCCGTTGGGAGCATCTTCAGCGGCCCCGAGTCGACTGGATGCGCCGGTATCGCCAGAGTTGCTGTGTTCTTGCTTGGGCCGCCGCTGCGCAAATGGCTCTTCCGAGGTTGCGGCCGATGCGAATGGCCGAGAAGCCGCAGCAACTGCGTCTGCAGCTGCAGCTGTTGATGGTGCCGGGCCTGAAATCGGGGACTGCGATATATTAAGCCCAGTCGGCGATGGTGTGCTGGTGTTCTTCGCACGATGCTCCTCCATGGCGCGCGTGCGCAATGGGCCGAAACGTGATGCGCAGGCCTCAGGCGATATGTTTGGCGTGGACTGGCGTGGACGAGCGATGGGGGGCAGGAAGGGAAGGAGAATTAAAGAAGCAAAGACGCAGTGATGCCGAGAAGAAGAAGCTCAGTTGTACGACGGAGTAAGGTGGTAGGTTGAAAGCGATAACTTTTAAGTGTCTTCATAAAAGAGGTTTCACTCTGGCTCTGGCTGGCTCTGGCTGGCTCTGGCTGGCTCTGGCTGGCTCTGGCTGGCTCTCTGGCTGGCTCTCTGGCTGGCTCTCTGGCTGGTCAGCAATTCCTCGCGGGAGGGTCCCTTGGTCCCCTGTACAAGCCCCAGTATTTATTACTCAATGTTGTAGTCCGTATGCGACTCAACTGCGAGTGCCCAGCCTCTTTTGGGGACTGGATGGCGTGCGTGAGTCTGCAACAGGTCCGTCGTTCGGGGGGTTGACTTCTTTGTTGTTATGTGAAAGAATGCGACTTAACGAGTCCATTATGTGGAAATAGTACCTCCGTACGGAGTTATACTTAGTTACTGGTACTATCTGAACCGTGTCCAACTGCTGAGGTTGTGACGTTCGGTCAGGGTCGAATTTGCAATGCCACCATCGCGGTTCGTTTTTGGCTAATAACTCGAACCAACGTTATTTCTGTCCCGTGTTGCGGAAGGGGAGATTATCATCCAAAATAGTGAGGCTAGTCCACGATTGGTTTAAGACGGGCGGTAAAATAGGATGAATAATAATAACCAGGCGCTTCAATGGCAGTCGATCAAAAAAAACAGACAATCACCACAACACACAAGTCTGACAGCCCTGACTACATAAGGATTGACCAGGGTGCATGTCGCTTCGTTATCTGATAATAGGCTGTCCATCAAATACGCTCTCTACCCTTGTCTTTAGTCCCGTATCCTGGCAAAGGTGGAGGGCGAACGGAGCTGCCAGCCCATCGTCCAGGGAGACTGCAAGTTCATCCGCCACCCGTCCAGTTGAACTCCGGCAGCTTTGTCGGTAATATGTAGGTCTTGCCGGACTGCGATGGACTTGAAGCGTGCATAGATGCCTAACTTTTCGCAAAAAGCACGAACTAGGTTCCACGGAGTAGCGTGGCACTTCGAAAAACTTGTTCGTGCTCCATACGGCTAGTATTACGTATTACGTCGCACTAGCCTCAATTCAGACGCCATGCTTTTGCTCTGATCGAATCATCTGGTTTCACTCCATTGGCGGCCTTTCCAGTCGATCAAATTGAACAGCCTTTCAGTCCAGCAAATCGTACAAGATTCTGTCTCGTTAGCGTACCGCCACGGCAAAAGACATCTGACGACTCGAATCATTGTCTCTGGCACGGGTCATGTTGCTTTGTTGAACGCATACGGAGTACGTATTAACAGATTGATGAGGTGGTGGTGTTGAGGGGGGTTGGTGGCTCGAGAGAATGACGGACCTCTTATGCCCTCACATGAAGAAATTTAAAAAATTAAAAAAATAAGTGCCGTACCGCCGTACTGCAGTCTCTAGAATCAGAAGAGATGAAGTGCTCATCGCTAAAGAATACAGGGGCTGTGAAAAGCTTGCTTAAATCTGCAGAGAAACGGGGATAAGAATCTGAAAGTTTTGTTTGCTCCTGCCTTTTTGGAAAGGTTGCTGCTTATTGGCTCGTGTTACTTGGCGATCTGAATGGACAAGTTGAACTCTGCCCCACTTAATAGAACAATTATGACTACGCCGTACTCCGTAGAAGACGGGTCGATGTATGTGTCATCTGCGGTGACCAAGGACAAAGAGAAACAGACCTTATTATCGAACATGTGAGTTTGAGTTTGACCAGTGGGTATGCCAGCCGCCCCCATTCTCAATCCATCAGGTCTGACGACCACATGCGCAGAACTATTCGAATCGCAAAGCCTGCTGAACTCGATACACGAGCATACAGTCACCCGGGCAAAGTGAAGTGTGCATCGTCACCCGAATAATGCGATGCACGATGACATGATAGGTGGACGTGGTACTTGATAAGGAGCGTCTGACGCGTTGCAAGCGCCACAAGTACCTGAATGTGTTAGTAAGTTAGTAACGATAAAGGTCTTCATGGGCCCGAGGCAGAGGGCTGAGGAGCAACGAAGTCATCAGACGGTTATTTTCGGTCTATTCCAGACGAGAGGAGACCTGATGCTGCTATATTAGGCGCAGAATGGCCAATACGGTAATACAATGTAATATCAGTCACAGCACTAATTTTTAGGCCCCGGGGGGGGGGGATGGCATGGAGCTGATGCAATCCAGTCCGAAAGAGATCCTTCGGAGATAGACATCTTACTCATGGCAGGGGGTTACTGCACGCAGAATGACAGGTGTTCATATGAACGGTGAGTCAGCCACCGGAAATCGACTCTTTGGCTAGAGGCCCATGAATACGACGCTCGATAGGATCGAGTCGCTCTAATTTGGCATCTACTTCATCACTTCAAAACAGTGGTCGAGGGTTTCGCGAGGGGTAAAAAAGATACTATATCGGATCGCTCTGATATTAATGCACATGTAGATGATGAAAATCGAGTTGCTTCAACTTCGACCACCTCTTCCCCTGCCACGGCCCCTTCCTCTCCCACGCCCTCCTCCACGGCCACCTTTCTTCCCACCCCGGCCACTGTTCCTGTTGTCGAACCTCTCAAAGAGCTGCTCCTCGCCAAATGCCGCTTCGCCGAATCGCATGAAATTCACTAGCCCCCTGTCCACAACAGCTACGAGTACGTTCCTGTGACCGTGTTTCAGCCGCTGGTAGAGTCTTCCGGGGCCTTGCCATGCTGGGTTTGGGGGGTCCAGCGGTGTAGATTCCAATAATGCTTCGACCTGCTCCAGGGTGGGCACACTGGAGTCAGCAGTGTCAGAAACAGCAATGCGGAAATCGGGTGGAGGAGGGTTTTTCTTGGAGAACGGAGCACCGTTGCCTTTCCAGACGTGGTAATGCACGCGGAAGGGCTCCTGAACTTGTCGAGGTGTCGGCGTGGCTGATGATGGCTTATGCCGCGGGAGCAATGCTAGCTGTTGGTAGATTGGTCGATATGCTCGATATATGCCTGGCGACACGATAGGGCCGAACGGTTCATGTGGCGGCTGTCGTTGCCATGGGACCATCGAAAAGAGCCATTCACACAGCGAGGTTGATGGCGGCGTCGAAGAACCTGGCCCTCGAGTCGGGGAAAGATCGTTCAACGGTGCGCGCATAACGTGGAATCCAGCACGTTTGAGATGTGTATACACCTGGAACTTGGGCAGCGTGGTCTTGCCACGCTCCCCTTCATATCCGATGAGGAGAGTATACGCCGCTTCCAAGGTGAGCGGTAGTCCGGCATCGTAGTCATCAGGACCGAAGACGTTCCTTGTAGATCCGCCGCCGTCTGTGACTTTGGGCAGCAACTCCTCAAACTCCTTGTCCGGCCACCACACGTCCACCGTGCCCCTTTCAATCAGGTACAGCGCTTCTTCAGGCAAGAGCCATAATCTTCCCACCCCCAACTGATCTTTGCTCCCCGATACGGCTCGGCCAATATCTCGCATCCAGTTCCCGCGCTCGTGCTCCATGACGACGACACGGTCATGGAGCAGGGCATCGTCCGACTTGCTGTCCGGTGAATGCGTAGTCCACCAGTCTGGAAAATACCAACCTCGTAACCATGCGTCTGGTCTATGCACTCTTGTGTAACTCAAAACCTCCTCCAGAGCTAGGCGACTTGCTTCGAGCGTGTTCTCCTGTGCTCGTGTCCCGTGGGATTCAAAGTCTTTTTCGCCCTTGCGAATCACTTTGCTAGAGACGCCTTTTTTGTTGAACATGGTGGCGAAGAGCTTGTAATCGGGAATGCCATCTTCCAGGGCCTCTGCGGTCGATAGTCCACCATCTTGGGTTGCTGGAGCCTGGGCCACGTCGGCGGCGGGATTGTCGTCGTCGTCAAAGGGCATGGTGGTGAGGGTTGCCCCTTAAGCGAGAACCCTGACTTGCTGGGAGAATGTTGCGTGTGATCGGCAAGCCTAGCTAGATTCCTTTCAATGGGCCAAGATCCTCCTCCCGTGAGTTCCAGTGAGTTTTGGGGAGTGTTCTTTCGAGAGCAGGACCAAGTTGAAGAAGGGACAAAAGCTGCGAGTGAGATTTCACTTGACGTTGATTTTTCTCACGTCAGCGGGCGACCCTTGATTCCATGGAACTATCTGCAAGAATAAGCGAATAAGTGAGCAAGTCTCCGGATACTGGAAGCGTGATGCCAATAGAATCAGAATATTGCTGGCTATTCAATCAGGCTTGAACGAACAGTTCAACATGGGAGTTAAGTCAAAACTTGCACAAGGTGGGTCACACTCAATCGTCAAAGCAAAGTATGAATATGTAAATCGTGTGAACCCGAAAGCCAGTCACCTGACAAGCGCGAGTCTGGCCGAGTGGTTAAGGCGTTGTGTTTAGGTCAGCCTGAATGCCTCAGGAGAACGCTTAAACCGCAATGGGCTTTGCCCGCGTAGGTTCGATCCCTACGGCTCGCAGATACTTTTTATACTTTTCAAGTATTGAATCTTTTTGAGTGATAAATCATGTCACGTCTGTAAGATCATAGCTACCCTATAATTATTCGACAACTGACCAAAGTAAAATTGCCAAGAAATAAACAAGCAACAACCCTTACATTCAGAGAACCTACTGCATGCATTTCAGGACATAATAATGAAGCCTCATGATATATGTCAGAAGTCAGCCCTTGTTCCGAGCCTGTTCGATTGCTGCATCGTGAACCGCCGAGTGTGCAACGGAGAGTGTGAACGTTTCGCAGCTGCGGCGGGCGTTTTTTTAACGGCTAATTTCGCTTGAGTTCGCACATCTGCATCAAATGCGCCTGTCGACTGCGAGGCAACTTACTCTCTGTTTCGATATTGCATTGTTGACATCTGAAGCGAGTCCTCCAACCACTGCACTCGTTGTGTTATCTTATTTCAAAGCCGCGCGCCTGTGATTGTCTGTTTACGTTTCTCCGGCTGAACTCTCCGCTGCAAACCCCACCCCCAACAAGACTCCACGAGGCAGAGCCGCGTTTCCACGACGACTTGATGTCGTCAGTAAGGCTGATCTTCTTGACCTTGACCTCGTCCTCGTCCTCGGTTCCGACTCCAAAACCGACACCGACAGCGACACCGACAGCTACGCCTTGCTGTCCTTCATGACGACTTCGGCTGCCTCCGACGGCTCCGTCCCTCTCATAAATCCCCGTCGCCGCTGTCTGCAGCCGTCACCGCCAGCTTCCCCGTGCTGGCGGGCCCAACAGCGGCACCATGGCCTCAGCGCCATCCAGTGTGAGATCCAGTGTGAGGGTATCCGGCCCCCCAAACAGCAGTTTTCTCGTGGGCTATCCCGGTATTTCAGCAACTCTGGTACGTGTTCCACAATCTCTACCGTGATTTTTGTGCGCCTAGTTGCCCTGTCGACATGGCCAGAAATCTCTAGCAAGGACCCCCCGGGCTTTGGCCACCTTTCCTGTATTAACGTCTGCATGTCACCAGCCACGAATCGAGGGCAAGGTCGAAATCCGGCCCGGCCAAGGGTTCTCCATGCCTGTACCAGTATCACTCGTGCGGATATGCTTGCAAAGACGAGAGACGATCCATCCCGACGCTGACAGCCTGACGAAACGCCATCTCGGCACACCCCGAAAGGAGGCAACAGACGTGGTGGGCAAAGAGGTTCTACTGTTTCGGTGTGCAACAGGGAAGGAAGCTGAGAAAGTCATCGCCATGGATCTACCATTTGTTCTCTTCATACCCTTTGGGCGCGGCGGAGAAGAAACGAACCGCAGAATTCCACCTGCATCGCTACAGCTTCCTAGCAGGACAGCAGAGACCTTCTACGAGCTCGTGGTAACAGTACAACAAGGCCACAGCAGCCAATACAAATACAGTTTCCCCGTCCCGTTGCAACGTTATGACACGTTGTCCACATTCGGCATGTACAATAAGCCAGAGACCAAGCTCGTTACTTCAGACAATATTGTCCATCTGGGCATCAATCTGCCGCGGTGGAGCTATGGTCCAGGAGACCCTATTACGGTCTACATCAAACTATCGCCGAACCCCGACTGGCTCAGCAAAGCAAAACGAGTCAGCATAGAAAAGATCAACCTGACGATAGAGGAGGAAGTCACTTACAACCCCGAGGGAGACGAGCCGGTAAAGAAGATCAACAAGCTGTCAAAACAAGTGCAGGTGGTCAAGATGAAGATGCCGGAAGCTGGGTACGCCACTAATATTGGACTTGTGTTTCCTTGCAAAGATTTGAGAGACGCAGATGGCATCGTGAAGAGAGGCAAGCCGGCTTTTCCATCGTACGAAGTCTCGTCCTTTACCACCACGTCGTCGCTCTACAAGATCGAATTCTACCTAAATATAAAGGTACTGGTCCGCTTGGACTCGTTCACTCGACCCCAACACAAAATGCTGACGTTCAATGGATAGGTTCAACTAAGTGGTGCCCGCGACGTGACCTTGCGACAACCCATCGTGATTTGTCCGCTGGATCAACAAGCCTGCAAGGAAGAAATGGACGCTATTGAGCAGGCCGCCAAGGATGCTTCTCATGTCGACCCCAACAATCCCATGTTGCCAGCTAGGACCATCATCTTAGCCAGCGACCGAGATTCATTACGCGCTCTTGGGCTGTGCATCGTGGGAGGTCAGAAGAAGCCGTTTATAGATTGAGTTTGATCGGGCCGGATCCCGAGGTTTTATTCTTTTGGGCGAGTCACGCTGAGTGATGGCGCACGGTACAGTACAGGCTCCGGCCTCTGGACGCACCCCTAATCGGTACCAGCCACTCACTGCCCAAAGACGTTTGGCCACGACGACTGTGAACCAAGCAGAGCGTTTCTGACGCTCCTCATGACCAACGGCACTCGGCAAGCACATCAGAATGGCATAGCCAGATGTGTAAGCCAAGAAGAGGCCAAAAAAATTGGCAAATGGCACGACTGATGCTCACGAGGCAAAGGGCTACCACGTCAATGAACGAGATGTTTCATTTCGCCTTTATACTCTGATGTGGCCAGGCCAACAGCGAGACTCGAATTTTTCTTTTCTGGAAAGGCATGGAAATTTTGGCGTTATGTGGGAGTGATGGATATATATCTTTAAGCAGTGATGACAAGTTCTGGTATGTACGGACGTCGGGCTGGGGACCTGGGATTCGGGGCGTATTATCTGGGTATGGCGAGTGATTTGGCCAAATCGCCAACGAAACGGAGAAGATGATTGGTGCTGGAAGATGGGTAATCCGTATACCACAATGAATCAGAAGCCATTACATACTCCGTAATGAGACAGACGCCTTGACTCAGAGAGCTGGTTGGCCCGAGCTCTACATACATACATGTAATACACGTCGCGCCCCTTGCAGCTCGCAGCCCCTCCAATGTCGACTTTTGACGTCGATGCTGCTCCATGTCTGCATTCGGCCAGGCGGCGGCGGCCAAGCCAAGCCGAACCCGACCCCCACCAAGAACCCAGACCCACATTGATAGGTGGCCAATTTGAGCTCTCTCCCCTTGCAATATCTTTCATCCGGCACACATTGTGCATACTCAAGTACAACCAACACTTGCAAAAGCGCACGTCGTTGCGCCAGGCCGAGCGACTACACCGCGCAATTCATCATGCGCGCAACACATCTGTTATCATTCGCTCTTTCAGGGCTCGCCGCCGCTCACGGCAGCCACAGCCAGAAGCCCATTGTCAGCCACGATGCAACATGGATGGAGAAGCACATGGCCGGTAACGTCTCACCACTTCTTGCTCTCAGAATAAAACGAACTGTCCAAACCCGAAACCCCAAAGACTCGATCGACGATACGACACAAACTCCCCATTCCCATTCCCAGTCCCAATCCCAATCCCAATCCCATTCTCATTCCTATTCCCGTTCCCGTTCCCGTTCCCGCTCGCGCCAGCATCTCCCCCCCCTCTCCCCACTGACATGCACTCCCAGAGGAACACCACATCGACACCTGGGAAGCAGGCGCCTTCTTCGCTCTCCACGACTACAACTCGGACGGCGAGTGGCAGGGCGAGGAAATCATGCGCACGTACGGCCTCATGGATCCCTCCAACAAGGACATGCCGCAGGACAAGAAACAGGACGTTCTCCAGCACCTCATGGGCCTGCTGGACACGAACCACGACGGCGTGGTCAGCCACGACGAGTTCGCAGACTTCATCCAGCACGGCGGCACGCTGCCGGACTTGGGGACGGGGCCGGGCCACCACGGCGACGACGAGTACGAGTACGAGATCCACCACTGGGCCAAGTACCATGATGAGAACACCAAGTTGGAGGACCTGACGCACCCGGAGGACATAGAGCACTTTAAGCATCATGAGGAGATGGAGAGGCAGGCCGAGGATCAGGAGCGGAGGGACCAGATGGCGGTTGTTGAGGAAAATATTCCTGCTAAATTCAGGAGGCAGTAGTATTTGGGTGCTTTTTTTGGGCACCATGTGAATATTACTTTTTTTTTTTTTTCCAATTTTTCTTTTAGGGGGGGGGGGGGGTTTGTATTTTTAGTATTTCATTAAAGGGCATTCTGATTCGGGAAGATGATGGAACCGGGCGGTTAGGAAAACAACACGAGGACATGGGAAGCATTCATGACGACGGAGGAAAGGGAGACGCTAGGAATTTACGCCAACATGGAAAGACGAGCGGCCTCGTCCCCTGTGCAAACAAAACAGTGTAGTGTAGTGTAGTGTAGTGTAGTGTAGTGTAGTGTAGTGTAGTGTAGTGTAGTGTAGGTAGGGTCAAGTCATTCTCGTCTTGTAACAAGGACGTCGAAGACGCAATGCCACACACCGGGCGCATATGTCTTGACCTTCTCGACCCTGTCCACGCGAATGCACCTATTCAGGCCCTCCTCGCCCGGATCCCCCCCCAGGAGCAGCTCAATCTCGCGCCGTCGCGGTTCCACGTCGGCCTCGCCCACGTTCTCGTGAAGATGCAGCCACGCCGGCTGGCCTGCCGTGGTGGTCGTCCTCGTCAAGGACAGCGCGCAATCCCACGTCAGCCTGCTGGTCGGTAGCAGTCCGCAGTTGACGTGTCGCACGTCGCGCAGCCATGGCCCGCCCCGTCGTCGCTTCTTCATGTCCTCGGTTCTCCAGCGCGCGATCCCATTGTCCTCGGCCAACAGGACTATCCGCGCCGTGCTCGCCATCATGTCCTCCGAGGGCACGCTCGTCCCCGGACGGGAGAAGACGTCGACGCTCCACTTGTTGAGGCGCGCGCCCCGGCGGAGAGCCTCGACGCTCCACGGGTTGAGTTCCCAGCAGAGCACGCGCATGCCGAGCTTCGCATAGCAGAACGCGAAGTAGCCTATCCCCGCGTACAGATCCACGGCCCAGACATGGCTCCGGCCGCCGCCCTCCTCCTCCTCCTCTGAGCCGGGCGGAGCGCGGGGGAACCCCAGCAGACGCGCCTTCTCCTTGACGTTGCCCCTGCTGAACATTGTCCACCG